CGTAGCCGCGGTCCGAGGGGCGGCTATCGCGACTGACGCGGCTGCCGGTCGTCTCGGAGCGGTCGCGCGCGCTGTCGTCGCCGCTCCGGGCATGGCCGCTGGTGGTGGTGTCGGTGGTGTCGGTGTGGGTGTTGGTGGTGTTGGTGGCGGTGTGCTCACGGTGATGGTGGTGATGGTGTGCCGGGGAATCGTCGGTAGAGCCCCGAGCAAACAGGCCAAACGTTTGGACCGAGCTGCGGCTCCGATTGCCGTCGCGTCCGCCCGCGCCCGGCCCCGGCCGCTCCCACCGCTCCGGAGCAGACGGCGAGCGCGACCCAACGGAGCGGAGCTCCTCTTCCGCCTCGGTCGACAACGGGCTGGCGGGCAAGTTGAGCTCGCGTTCCAGGGCATCGATCCTCTGCTGCCTCTTGCCCCTTTCGAGGTACTGGTGGATTTCCGACTGCTGCCGAGTGGTGCCAGCTTGAGCCCGTTGGGTGGCCAGCAGCCCAAAGGCGCTCTGCTCAGTGGGGCTCGACTGACGCCGAGAGACGGACGACGAGGCGTCGTTGGGAGGTGCGGCAGACGCCGGGTCGCGGTCGACAAGGATGCTGCCGTGGCTAGAGCGCCCGAAGGTGCCGTGCAGGCTGGGCGAGACTGGGTCCGAGATGCCTGCGAGGCCGTGGAGAGAGGGGTAGGGATGGCTGCCTTGGCGGCTATGGCCTCCGCCGCTCGATACCCGGCGGTGGGCCGATGTGTACGGCGCCGCCCCCTGCGCCGAGGTCTCGGGGGCATGGCCGGTGGCGTCCTCTGATTGTGAGCCGCCCTCTTGTCGCGAAGGGAACGGGAGCGTCCTGGGAACTTCCGGGGCGGGATCCGCTGCTTGTCGTGTGCTGGGCAGGAGTTGACTGCCGGCCTCATTGCCGTCGTCGCCGAGAAACGCACCGCCGCTGCTGCTGCTGGCCGGCTCATGGGGGCGACTGGCACGCGCGCTGGTGCGTCTGCTGCTGCTGCCGCGCGAAGCATGGAGGCTGCTGGTGCGCTGCGGCGTCCGAACAGATGGGTGGTCCGTTCTTAATTGGCCGTTCATCCTCCGCCAGCCTGCGAGGGGAACCAGAGGCGTTTGCCTCGGTGAAGCGTCGAGGGGCCAGGGAGGCTAGGAGGTGGGGCCCGAGGGGCTGCGGGTGTCGAGAAGGAGCGAAGACGCGCGAGGAGCTCCTGCGAGGCTGTATTGAAAGTGCCGAGGCGAGAGGGTTAGAGATGTGGCGGACAGGGAGGAGTGGTCAAAAGCGCCCATGCGGTCGATCCGGGATGGTCAAGTTCCAGAGGCTCAGAGGAGAAGGAACCGCGCCTGGTCCGCTGGGGGCGTCCAAAGCAAGCGAACGATGGTGAGATTGCGATGAGCTGGCGTGGCTGCTTCAAAGACGAGGGCGGCGCTAGCTGATCAAGATCCAGCAGCAACACGGGCGGCGATTGAGATGCTGAAACGCTGAGCGGCGAATGCGCAGCGTGAGCGGTTGCGACGGATAGACCAGCTAGAGCGAGCCTAAGCGGGCGCGGGATGATGACGCGAAGCACGGAGTCGAGGCGTCTGCTAGCGGGGCGTCGGGGGGAGGACAAGGGTCGATGGAGGATGGTGCCTGCGGAGTGGTCGGATAGGTCAGGCTAGGGGCGGTCTAGGTCGGGACGGGGCGGGCGAGGCCAAGAATGGAACGACGCGGCATGCTTTGTAGGTCTGTGGAGATGGAGCGATGATCGGTTGGCTTGGACAGGGTCGCAGTCGATGGCGAGGTCGGGTTGCGTGGCGTTGGCGAAGGCGGCGGCGAGACGGGCCGACGTGGGTTTGCCGCAGGCTGCACAATGCGCACGATGGGTGGCGATGGACCAAGGTGTGCAAGTAGGGTGGCGGCCTTGTCGCGCCAGGCCAGCCTCGTCGATGAGGAGAGAGGTGTAGCTTTTGGCGGTTCGAGATGGCAAGCGAGTAGGAAGAAGACGGCGGCGGCGGCGGCGGCGATGCTCAGCAGCTGTCCAGGATGGTGGAGGTCGCGAGCAGAGGTATCGGTGGCCTGAGAGGACGTCGTCGGCGCGGCAGAGTATGACCCTTTGCTCTCTCACTCTCTCCGTGTTTGTGTTGCCGAGGGGATCGGGAGGCGAGCTGGCGTGGCGGTGCAGCAGATAGGTGGCGAACTAGGGCAGTTCCAGCGGTGCAGAAGGAGGATAGGAGGTGAGGTGCCAATGCGGGGCGAGGTCGAGATAGCTAGGCACGGGAGGTGGTGGCGAGCGACTGGGCCAGCCTGGCCTGCGAAGACAGCGCCACAGACCAGTTTGAGGAGGGGCGGGCGAGGCGTCGGTTGTTGATCGCGACAAAGACGAGGCGAGGGACCCGACAGCGGTGTGCGGGGCAGGCCGGTCATGGTGCTGGTGCTGGCCGGCCAAACAGGCTGGCGTAGGCAGGCAGACAGGCAGGCTACAGTAGGGCGTAACTACTCGTCGCCGACGAGGCGGTGCGGGAGGGTTGTGTGTGTGCGAGGCTAGGACACGGTTGGGTCGGTCTCGAGGGCGAGGCCAGTGCTGCTGGCCGCTGGCCGATGGCAGCCAAGACATACACAAGCTTGGACAGGGCGCGGCGGGGCACGGCAGGGCAGGGGGGCCCAGCGGCAGACGACACGCGTCAGGTAAGGTTTTGCTTCCGGTGCCAGGCTCGGTACTGTACCCACGCCATACCAACAAGCAAAGCAACGCAACGCAACGCCGCGCAAAGGCGGAACGAACAAGCAGCGGGGCGCGGGTGGGCGGCAGCGGCAGCGGCGTCGGGAATTCCATCATCGCGCTGCGCTGCGCTGCGCTGGGCTGCCGCCCGCCTGCGTGCCTGCTGCCTCGTCCCGGAAACGAGGAACGGAATAAGACGAGCAGGCGGCCGGCATATGGAAGGGCGGCAACGGCAGGCACGCGGGCCCTGCCTGCCTCGCTTTCATGCACGAGGCCCGCTCAGGCCAAGCCAGAACAGGCCTAGGGCGAGCGCCAGAGCCAGCGTCAGCGCCAGCGCGCCAGCGAGTAAAACGTTATTGGGGCGCAGCGGGCGGGCCTCACCACCCTGCCTGGACGAGCAAGCGGCGACGGCGGCCTGCCAGACCGGTCTGGAGCCCCGACCGCTCGCTCGGTCCGCCTGGTCCCACCTGGCAGCCAGCCAGCCATCGACCATCGATCCATCCACATCGCTGGCACCTCGTATCGCGCCTGCTCGGCGGGGCAATGGTCGACAAGGTGGGGGGCGGCGCCATACCAGCTAGCCTCGAATGGGCAGAGGAGGGGTCGAGGGTGGTAGGTTTGGCCTGGTGGTGGCCTTGCTGGGCATGTGCGAGTGCCAGTGGCCGCGCTGGGGCGTGTGCGAGTGCGAGGGCCGCGCTGGACGGACAGCGACCACCACCTCGGTCTCGTTCTCTCAGGTCGCATGCTAGCTGCTGAGCTACCGGGATGACCACAGGACAGGCAATCAACATGCGGATGGGCATGCGCAAGCACGTACGTACAGGAGGGCGCAAGCTCGAGGTCTGATCACCCTCCCACCTACCCGCACACCGACGACGAGTGATTGCGCCCAGCCTTGGATGCCAGCCAGCGAGCCAGCCTTGCCTCATGCCTGCCTCCAGGCCCGCGATGCGCCCAATCGTTCCGGGACGAGAAAGAACAAAAGGGGCCAAGCAAGCCAGCCGGGGGTCAATGCGGCAATCTGGGCGGGCGGCCGTCGCCACGAATGTTGCGCCAGATGGGCCATATCCAAAAGGGGCTCCCCTGCCACCGTCTCGCTCGCCCTCTATCTGTCCTGGCGTTTCTCCTCGAGCAGCTGAGCCTCGAGCGAGAGAAGCAGGCGTGGCACAAGCCAAGGCAGGCAGGTAGGCCCGGCTGACTGCCTGCCCGAGCTAGAGCATGTTGGCACCTCGATGGGCTTTCCAGCGCGTGCAGGCCACCATCTTGCTGGGCAAACCCGAGCCCAGTCGGTCGTCCACGGAGCCCGTCCCCGTCTAGCCGCGAGCTGCTACCTCGTGTGTGCGTCTGCGGTCCTCTGCATGCAGGGGGTACGCAGGCAAGAGGAGCGGACGGTGGCGGTGGCGGCGAGGGCGAGGGCGAGGGCGAGGGCGAGGCCAACGGCGACGGCGACGGCGGAGGTTGGTGCGCGGTGGCACGGTATGGCGGCGGTGTTGTTTGTGTTGGTAGCCCCTGGCGGAGCGAGGCGGCTGCAGTAGGTACAGACGTCGGGCGGGCGTTGACTCGCCGGCGTCGCCTGGCCGCCTGCCTGTAGCCGCCCAGCGTGCAGCCTGCAGTTGTTTTCCTGCAGGCCGACAGCTAGCTTTGGGCTGCAGGGTTGCAGTCGGGCCAAATTCAAACAAGCTCGGCACGAAGGGAGGCAGGTCCAACGCAGCGCCACGCTGTCGGCCCCGGGCCAGGCCATGGCTGTGCACGCACTGCCACCGCTTCGGTTCGGTTCGGACCCGAGCGAGGCGACGCTGCTGTGCCATGCCCTGGGACAGGCGACAGCTGGCCCGCCTTCGTCCCGAGCACCACCAGCATGCAAGGCGATGGGCTCTCGACGGTGCCCTACGAGTACGGTACCGTACGGGGGACCGGGGGGCACGGTGATGGAGTTTTGCCGGCGCACGACGACGAGGGAGAGGCCAGGATGGAAAGGCAGACGCCGGTGGTCGTCTCGCCGATATCCAGCTGCAGAGGTAGACGCAGGTAGGGTAGGGTAGGGTAGGGTAGGGTAGGGTAGGGTAGGGTGGTGCATGTTCCAGGAACGAGGGTGACTCCCCCCGCGAGACGTTGCCTGGCCCGACGGCACCGGCACCTCGACTCGCTCGTTGCTTGACGAGACCAACCGACCGGCGTGGCGTGGCGTGGGGGTTCTTGCCAAGCCAGACGAAGGGTTGTCGCGGATGCACGGCGGATGGTGGCTGAACGAGGCGGCCGGGGCGAGGGTGCGCGACCCTGACCCCTGTCGCTGGTTGCGCCACTCCGCCGCGCCCAGGCCAGGCCAGGCGACGGCTCAGCTCGAGTCTTGCGCGCCGTCGTCTCCGGCCACAAAGTCTCGGCGTACACGGCGGAGTGTCATGCCCCGCCGGGCTGGCTCCTCGAGACCCTTCCTCGTGACGGCAGGGCCACGCAACGTTTTTCAAGCCAATACTGTATCTCTCGAGAAACAATCAGCCCGGGAGCGCAGGTAGGCAGGTAGGTACAAGGACGGCTTGCTAGGGTCCGGAGCGGTCGTCGAGCTCGACGAGGAGCGCCAGCAAGAGCAGGCCGGTCTGCCTGCCGCGTCGACGGGACGACTTCGCAACCGCCTCGGCGTCTGCTTGCCAGACCACCTGTCCGATCGCCAGCCCTGGCCTCATCCTGGACCTGGATTCCGCCGACTAAAAGCAAAGCCGCCGAGGTGAGAGCGGTTCCGGGAAACAAGAGCGTCCTTGCCGTGCCGCGCTGTACGTGGGGTCTGCACCGGGATCCACGATCGATGGGCATGGCGTAGCAAGCCATGGATCGAGCCAGCCTGGGCGTACCATGCGGGCGATCCATAGGTCCCTGCCCATGCTGGCAGAGAGAGAGCACCACCTCTGTCTACCGCCTCTGACCGCCGACAAACGTACCCGCAGGCAGGCAGGCAGCCAGGCAGGCGGGCAGCAACGCCCTGCTGCAGGTCCGGGCGCAGTGGGCGCAATTCGGCAGCGGAAGCCGAGCGCCGGCGCCGGACTCGCACGCGGTCCCTGCCTGCTTGCCTGGCCTTCAGCTCAAGGCACACGATCCGTACCGTGCGTACCCACGCCCGCGAGGATGACAACGACAAGCATACGCCGCAAAGGCAGCCTGCCCGGTCGATCCCGAGTACAATGCAGCGTAGTGAGGGGCGAGCATGCTCTCTGGCTGACTGTATGTACGTCGCGTACACCTCACGGCATGGGCAGCGTCGATCGGCCAACGATGGGACGACAACCGCCGACTTTCGGGTACGCTGCCCGCCCGTCGGTCCCCCTCGGAGACGGTCTGAACGAGCGAGTACATGGGATAGGCTCGACGCGACATGCGGTGGACCTGCTTATCGATGGCGCGGCGCCATCTGCGTAGCTTTCGGGCAGAGACGGGGTCCAACCCGGGGTTCATCTGCGATCGCCGGCGGCAGCGAGTGGTAGCGTAGCGTCTTGCTCCTCGACTCGTGACGCGGAGCGAGGCAAGGCTCTGTCGCCACTCTGGCCTAGCGTGGGAGAGAACGAGCGTCGCTCAGTCTAGAAGTGTCGGGCTGGCTGCATCGCACGGCATCCATCGCGATGGATGTCGTCGTCCCCGTGCCGGCACCGGACACGCAGGGACACTTTAGCGCCCTCCAAGAGGTCCCGTCGCGGTGGGCGGTCGAAACACGTCTCTGGCAGCGCATTGTCACGCTTGATTTCGGCCGTCCGAAGACGTCGAGCGCGTACCGTACCGGAAACGTGCGCCGCCCGACGTCGATCGCACGCACCGTCCTGGCGCCGCGATTCGGCAGGGCGGCAGCGAGAGACGATCGATGCTGGTCGGCGCAATCAACGAGGTAACTGCGCTGCATCGTGCTGGCCAGTCTTGCGGTCGCGACGAGTGGCCTTCGTCGTCTTTGCTCCGCTAGCGCACCGTCCCTTGCCATGCTCGCTTCAGAGAGGAGCCGCGAAGGGGGCTCCGCCTTGCCCCCGTGTAGCCTGGACGCGCCCCTGCGCGTCGGACTGCAACGACGATCATCAAGGCAGGCGCGCGTGGCCCGTGGCACGGAGCTGGCGAAAGGCAGGGACGGCGTGACGCAGATCCGAAGGATGCAAGGGGTGTGTGAGACTGGCGAGAATATGATCGTCGTCGCAGGAATGTCGAGTGCGGGGTGCGGGCAGCTCGGGGCCAGGCAGGCAGGCAGGCGGCGCGGAATGGCACGTGCAGCAACCCTCCCCAACATTTTCGGATCCGAGGCTTGATGGGGAAATGAAGTCGGCGCACGTGGCAGCGAGGCGTCGGCGTGACGGGGCAGAGAGACAGACCAACAGCAGCCAAAGGTGGAGGGAGGGGGTGGCTGTCCGTGCGGCGCCCTTTCCTGCTTCCTTCTCCTTCTCCCCTCCGCCTACCCACCACACCGACTCTTCCGTACACCGACAGACGATGCCGCCAAAACGAAAGGCACGCGCCGACGCCGATGCGGCCGATGGCCTCGAAGGAGCACACGCAGCACCGCCAGCATCAGCAACAGCGCCGGCATCGACATCGACATCGACCGACGCACACGATGCCGCTCCCCGGCCCGCAGAGGACACACCAGCCACGACAACGACAACGACGACGACGACGACGACACCGGCAGCAGCAGAGCCGGTCGACTCGCTCAGCAAGGCCACAGCGCCCACCGTCGATGTCCGAGCAGCCAAGCGCATACACCTCTCGACCGAATCGGCACTCTCGGCGCTGCCCCTGCCCGTGCTGCAGCGCCACCTCCCCGCCCAGCGCGACCGATGCCTCGCCATCCTCAGCGGCCGCCTTCCACCCGTCCCCACGGCTGACGACGGAAGCTTGGAACCTCCCGGCTCCGAGTGCATCGGCCACGGCGAAGAGTGGCTCCACCTCTACACGATGCTCAACGCCTCCGTCACCGCACGCGAGGGAAACAGCTGCCTCCTCATCGGCAGCAGCGGCGCGGGCAAGTCGATGCTCCTCGATTCCGTGCTCCGGAAGATTTCACACGACGCGCGGCCTGCTGCTCCCGCGAAAACGACGGCGGCGACCGTGCAGTCCAGGCACTACTACCGCGTCCACCTCACCGGGTCCATCCAGACGACGGACCGTTCGGCCATGAAGGAGATGGCGCAGCAGCTCATCAGCCAGGGCGCGTTTCGCGACGAGGACATCCGCGATGAGATCGACGATCAGCTCAACGAGCCCGAGTCCGGAGCAGGCGAGGCCGAGGGCGACGCAGAGCACCATGACGGCGACGACGACGGCGACGGCGACCATGGCGAGGCAGACGACCACGTCTTCGGCGGCGGTCCCGACGACGACGACGACGACGACGGCGGGGGCGAGGGCTACGATGCCGATGCGGCCGAAGAGGAAAACGTCGTGGCGGGCGCCATCCTCTCGTCGCTCTCCAACATCATTTCGCACATCATCTCGCTCCTCTCGACGTCGTCGAGAGCGGCGGGCGCCTCGACTCGCAAGCCGCTCGTCGTGTCCCTCGACGATTTCGACCTCTTCACGGCGCGGCCGCGGCAGGCGCTGCTGTACTGCCTCCTCGACGCCGTCCAGGCGGGCAGCTACGGCGCCGGCCTGGCCGTCGTGGGTCTCACGTCGCGCGTGGATACCGTCGACCTGCTCGAGAAGCGCGTCAAGTCGCGCTTCTCGCACCGCATCATCCACGTGCGCCCGCCCGCGTCGCTTGACGTGTTCCAGCAGGTGGCGCGGCGTGCACTCCTCGGTGGCCGCGGCGGCGGCGGCGGCGACGCTCAGGACGCACCTTTGACGTCAGAGCAACGGCAGGACGACGACGATGCGGCGGCGGCGGCGGCGGAACGACGGCTGTTTCTCTCGAGCTGGACCAGGGACGTCGATGCGCTGCTAACGCATCCGAGCTACGCCGAGATCCTGCGCGCCCTCTACGACCTGACGAACGACATCCGCCTCCTCTACCGCACCCTCTTCCCTCCCCTCGCCGCTCTATCCCCCACCGCGAACGGTGCCGTCTTTCCGATCGCGACGTTCCTTCAAGCGGCCTCGGACGCAGTATCGGACGGGATGGGTCGTACGACGCTACCGGCGCTGACGGAACACGAGTACGCGCTCCTCGTAGCGGCCAAGCACGTGCAGACGCGCGACCGGACCGTCTTCAACTTTGAAATGTGCCTCGATGAGCTCCGGCGCTTTGCCGGTAGGCAGTCGAGGTCGTCCAAGGCTCGCAGCCTCCTCACAGCTGCTCCGGGAATCGAGGGGACGGTGGCGGATCGAAGGACTGCCTTTCTGGCCTTCCAGTCCCTCGTGGCTTCCGAAATCTTTCTCGTCGATTCGGCAGTGGCGTCTCTGGATATAAAGGGTCCCGCTTCCAGCGGTGCCGGTACCGCCGGTGGAGCCGCTGCCGGTGGTGGTGGTGGTGGGGCGGCAAGAGGAGGGAGAGCGGGGATAGCGACGGGCGTGGGCCAGGAATTTGTCAAGGTGCGGTGTATCCTTGATCCGGCGGATATCGTCCGCATCGTCAAGGAGAGGGAGAAGGTGGGCGGGTTGCCGGCGGGCTTGGTCAAGTGGGTCGGTAGCTCGGTCTAGGTTAGGTGGGTCCGACGCGACGTGGGCACGGACGCCGTCGTGGATGCCTTCTCCCGCCTCGAAGCGCGCACGCACACATGCACACAGAGCGGTCGGCAAATGGACGACTTGGAGTGATATGACGATATAGCCCGGCCTGCCTCTCAGCTCAGCATGGGTCTCTTCCTCGCCTGCTTGCTTGCCCGCCCGCCACATGAGCCTGCGCTGTACTGTACGTGCCGATCCTTCGCTCTCCGCGACTGCCACCGCCGCCGTCCAGCCAGGAGTGACACACTACTATGCGAGCAGCCCGGACGGCACCTCGACGCGCTCGAGGCCCGCGGCGTTGCGCAGCGAGTTGAGCTTGATCGTCATGACCTTGAGCGTGGTGCGCAGCTTGTCGTCGTCGCGGTCGAGGCGCGCCTGCTCGACGAGCTCGTGCCAGCGCATCGAGGCCAGCGACACGTCCTGCATCGTCGGGCACCGGTTGGCAAAGTGGAACGGCCCCAGGCAGATGGCGCAGCGCTGCTCGGGCTTGGGCCCGTACCGGGTCGGCGCCGCGGCGACGGCCTCTTGGACCGAGGGCGGCGCCGTAGGAGGGGCAGTCGATGGCACCGAGGCAGGCGCAAAGCTGCTGCTGCTGCTGCTGGCGCTGCCGCCCATGTTGCTCGGCATCTGCATCCCGACAGGCTGGCTCCCGAACCCGTTGAACGCTGCCGGCGCGGGAGAAGGAGAGTCGAAGCCGCCGCCGCCGCCGCCGCCGGGAGTGCCAAAGCCTGACATGGCCGATGGCGAGCCTGCGGCAGCGTCGGCCGCCGTGGAAGCGCCACCGACGCTCGAGGCGTTGCTGGAACGAGGCTTGCGCGCCTTGGTCATGGCATCGAGCCTGCGCAGCTCGTTGCGCCACACGGGCACGGCCGTCGGGCTGCCCGCTGCCAGCGGATGGTTCCGAGTGAGGCGCATCAGATCAGCCACTGTAGCACCGACGGCCTTTTTCTTCTTCTCTGCTGCCGCAGCGGCCGCCCCTGCCCCTGGGCTGGCGCGAGTTTCAGAAGACGAGGCTCGAGCTCGAGCTGTCTGTGTGGCGTGCGCTTGCTGCGACCCCTGCGCTGGCGCATGTGCGGGTTGCTGCTGTGTCGGCTGCTGTGTCGGCTGCTGTGTCGGCTGCTGTTTCGGCTGCTGTGTCAACGGCTGCTGCGGCTGCTGCGCCTGGCCAGGGCTCGGAGCTCCGGGTGCCGCCGACGCCGATGCCGACGTTGCCCTGCCCACACCGCCGTGCTGCTGCTGCTGTTGCTGCTGATAATGGTGCTCCTTATGCCGCCGCAGCAGATCGACGACGAGCCTCTCGACGCTCATCATAGTCATGATGCGCTGCTCCAAAGTGGGCGCCTGGAGCGCCCTCTCGGCCAAGTGGCCGAGGTGGGTGTGCCTCAGGCCCCGGATCCGCTCGAGCCACGCATTCGACTTGGCGACGTCGCCCAGGATCTGCCGGGCCAGCTCGTCGCTGGCGGCAATCGGCGGCGGTTCCGGTGCGGGCGCCGGCTCCACGGGCCGAGGCACCGAGCAGGCGATGAGCATGTAGAGGGCCGTGCGCAGCAGCAGCTCCTTGATGAGCGACGAGTTGAGCGCCACGGCGCCGCCGTACGGCATGTTGCGGATCTCGTCCGGGATGGCCTCCTCGGCCACAATCGTGAAGGTGGCAGCGAACAGCACGACGGGCATCTCGAACGCCTTGGCAAAGTACTGGACGTGCGTCATGGTCAGCTGGTGGCGGCCCTGCGGCGGAGGCAGCTGCGGGAAGCCGTTGTGCCCCATGCGGCGGCGGATCTCGTCCCAGTGCTGCGACGGCAGCGCGTCGAGGATGCGCATAAAGACGGCCTTTTGCTCGGGCGTCACCTGGTCCACCGGCGCCGTGGCATCAAGGTTGCGGATCGTCTCGAAGTCCTGCAGCATGTTGGTGGGCCTCGAGGTTGGCCGACGCGCGTTGGCCCCCACGAGTGCAGGCGCTTGACCTTGAAGGATCGGCATCGGCTGCTGCTGCTGCTGCTGCTGCTGCTGCTGCTGCGTGTGCTGCTGAGTGGGCGGAACATTCGTCGATGCGCCTGGCCCAGGTCCAACGGCAGTAGCAGCGGGTCCAGCCGCACCGCCAGCTGCGGCCACCGGATCTGGGAAGGGAGCAGGATTGAGCTGGACAATGGACGGGCCAGCGCCGTTGGCTGCGGCACCCCCACTGCCCATAGAGAAGGGCATCGGGTACTCCCTGGGCTGGTACGCCTTGCTCTTCTTCCTGCGGTCGAGCTCCCGGATGTCCTCGGGCACCGTGCCGTCGAGCTCGCCGTCGGAGCCAGACCGGTCCGAGAGGCGCGCGACAAATTCCTCGTCCTCGGCGCGCCGGGCCTGCTTCTTGGGTCCGCGCTTCGACCCGCCCTTCCGGCCGCCCTTTTCCGGCGAGGCCGGATCCTCTTCGTCGGCGGCGACCATGGCGCGGATGTTGGCGTCGCGGCGTCGGCGGCGCGAGGCGCGCTGGTTCTCCTCCTCGGCCTCGGCCTTGAGCCGAGCGTCCTCGCGATGCTTCTCCAGGAGGTCGGCCCAGAAGTCGTTGTCGACCAGCGCGGCGCTCGCGGGGTTGATGGCGGGGTCCTCCTTCTTGTCATTCTCCCACACCCTCGCGTAGGAGAAGCGGCCAGCGCCGCCGTGGTCGCCGCCGCCGCCGCTGCCGCCGATGCCGAGGTCGTCGTCGCTATCGTCGAGCCGCTCGCCGCGGTCTAGGAGGGCATCGAGGTCCTCCTCGGTATAGCGGACGTCCCTCTCATTCTCCTCGAGGCCGCCCTCGGCGAAGAGCGCCTCGGCGCCGAACTTGAGGATCGACTCGAGCGTCTCGGGGCGGGACTCTTCGTTGTTGAGGTTCTGCACGATGAGGTGGTCCAGCACCTGCGGGCGATGGAACGGGCAGGTAGGCAAGCGGAGGGAGCAGAAGAGGTCCGGGGTCAATTGCCTCTGCGCTGCGCAACGGGTCGAACCGTCAGCCGCCTCCGAAGGACGCATGACTCACCATCTTCTTCTTGGCCGTCTCGATGATCTGCTCCTCGGCGGTGCCCTTGCACATCATCGTGAGGACGAGGACCTTTTTCGCCTGGCCGATGCGGTGGGCGCGCGCAATGGCCTGCATGTCGACGTGCGGGTTAAAGTCCGGGTCAAAGATGATGACGGTGTCGGCCGTGGCGAGGTTGATGCCGACGCCGCCGGCGCGCGTCGAAATCATGTAGATAAAGTAGTCGGAGCCGGGCGCGTTGAAGGCGTCGATGCCCTTCTGGCGCTGCTTCTGGCCGACGGTGCCGTCGAGGCGGAGGTACTTGTAGCCCTCGCCGCTGAGGAAGACCTCGACCAGGTCGAGGTTGATGACAAACTGGGAAAACAGCAGCACGCGGTGGCCGCGCTCCTTGAGCTTGGGCAGCAGCCGCTGGAGGAGGAGCATCTTGGCGCTGGCGTCGACGAGGCGCTGGTGCTCCCACGACGCCTCGTAGCCGACGTCGCCCTCCTTGGCCTCGAGGTCGGGCGCGATCAGGTACGGGTGCTGGACGCACTTGCGCAGCTGCATCAGCACGTTGTTGAGGTTGGTGAGCGCCGCCTTGCGCTTGCCCTTGGTCTCGCCGCGCCCCTCGGCGAGCGCCTGGATGTCTTCGACGTTGTGCTCGAGGATGGAGCGGTAGATGCGCTTCTGAATCGGCCGCAGCGACGTCGGCACGATGAGCTCCGTCTTGGGCGGCAGGTCGAGCACCTCGGCCTTGATCCGGCGCAAGAAGTAGGGCTTGAGCCGGGGCTGCAGCTCCTCGATGAGTTCCGGGCTGAGCACCTCGTACTTGCGCTTGAGCTCCTTGATGGCGCTCCACTGGCCGCCGGGCTCGAGCCAGTTGAGCAGGTTGAAGAGCTCGCCGATGTTGTTGTTGAGCGGCGTGCCCGTCATAATGATGCGGTGGTCGCTCTGCATCTCGTTGAGCTTGCGCAGCAGCACCGACTCGCCGCTCTTGAGGTTCTGGCCCTCATCGACGATCATGGCGTCCCACATCCCCACCTTGCGCAGGGGCAGCGAGTCGATGCGGATCGCCGTGTCCGAGGCGACGACGACGTGGGCCTTGATCGTGCGCCGGCCCTTGCGCTTCGACTCGGACGCGCCCTCGCGGTGGAAGAGCTCAAACTTGTGGATCGTGTCGCGCGCCTCGGCCTCGCCCCAGTAGGGCACCACGCGGAAGTGGGGCAGCCACTTTTCAAACTCGCGCACCCAGTTGGGCAGCGTCGCGTTGGGCACCACGACCAGGAATGGGCCCGCGCGGTGCTCGCTCCACAGCTGGCCGAGGAACGAGATGACCTGCACCGTTTTGCCCAGACCCATCTCGTCGGCCAGGATGCCCGGCTGCCGGTTGTGCCAGCCATAGCGCAGCCAGTTGACGCCCTCGACCTGGAAGTCGAGCAGCTCGCCGCCGCGGACGCACGCCGGCTGGTCGTCGAGGGCGCGGAAGGGCCGGGAGCGGCGGGCGTCGCGGTCAGCCTCGTCGAGCAGCGGAATCGACACCTGGCGTGCGGCCAGGAAGCTCTTGTAGGCGCGCTGGTACTCGGCGAAGACGTCGGCGTCCTTGCGGCGCGACGGCAGGTCCTCCCACGTGCTGCGTTCGTAGCCGATATCTTGCCACTTGACGAGCATCTGGGAAATGTGGGGCCAGCTGTCGTGCAGGTTGGCCGGCTCGAGCAGGCGCTTGTCCTCGACCGACTCGGTGTCGATCTCGGCGCCGCCTGGCTCTGCCGCGCCCGTGTCGATCGAGGCGTAGAAGCGCACGCTGAGGATGCGGTCCGGCGTCTTCCAGGGCATCGGGATCCGCTGCTGGGCATCAGGTTCCGGGCCCGGCGGGCCGGTGCTGGCCTGGCCGACATCGTCGAGCGTGATGACTTTGCGGACCTTTTGCGCCCGATCCGGCGTCGAGGACGATGCAGCAGCAGACGCGGCGGCGGAGAAGCCGCCTCCCAGCGCGAGGCTGGCGCGGCCCTTTTTGGCCGACCTGACCGAGGCGGTGCTCTCGATGAGCTCGGCGGGCTCGAGCTCGAGGCGGGTGCCGTGGCGGAGGAAGTGGTTGATGGCCATCGGCGCCGTGACGCGCAGCCAGTCGTGGGGCACCCACACCGTCTCGCGGAATGAGCGCTCCTTGAACTTGACGAGGTACTCGCGCGGCAGCTCGTCCTTGTTCGAGTAGGCCGGGTAGGTGCGGTTCTTGGCCTCGCGGTCGTTCCACTCGCGCCGGTCGAGCGGGCGCCACGCCAGGATCTGGTCGACGGCCGCCCACTTGCGGCAGTCGCTGCACTTCCACTCGGCTTCCTGGGCCGCTTTGGCCCGCTCCTCGGGCGTCGCGAGCGCATCGACACCGCCGCCGCTGGCGCCACCCTCGGCGGCCGGGACGTCGGGCATGCATTCGTAGTGCGAGCACCGGTGGCAGCGGGTGCAGCGGAAGAGCCTCGGCGCGACCGGAGGGCTCGGCGGGGCGGGCAGCCGGGCGGCGGTCTCGGTGTCGGGCCCGCCAAGCTCCTCGGGCACCCGTTCGCCCTGGACGTCGCCCTTGCAGGTGAAGCAAGTCCAGCGGGCCACGGCGCAGTCGGGGCAGGGGATCGAGTCGACCACCTCGTTCATCGCGATCGTGGTGATGAGCTTCGGCGCCGGTCCGGCTCCCTCGCCCAGGCTGCGGTGCCGGGCGCGCCGCTCGCAGTTGAGCAGGGCCAGGACGGCGTTCTGGTGGGGCTGGTTGAGGCAGCCCCAGTGCGACGAGACGCTGCACGTCGAGCATTGGAACCAGCCGCCGCGCATCTCGAGCGTGTCGAGCCACTCTTCCATCCGCTGCTCGGCCGTGTCGAGCACGACGCCCTCGTTAAACATGCCGCGGGTGTAGCTGGTGCGCTCGCTGCGCGTCTTTTTCTCGGGCGACTGCAGCCGGACCTGCTTGCCCGAGCGCCTCTCCATCCGCTTGCGCGACGCCAGCGCCCGGCTCCAGTGGTGCATCGTCGGCTTGTCCGAGCACCGTCGGCACGTGTCCCAGTGCTTCTCGAGCGCAGACGTGGCCGGCTCGTACTCGACGCGAGGCTCGTCGCCATCGCTGGTACCGTCGTCAGAGCCGCCGATCACGCCGCCTTGGCCCTCGCCATCCTTTTCGTCCGGCGCGGCATAGTCACCGTCGCTCTCGTCCCGCCTCGCCGAAGCCCTGCGCTTGCCGCTCGCGCGTCGCTGGGACCGAGTGGACCTCTTGCCGCTCGGCTCCGCCTCCTCGTCCGACGCAAGAAGGTCGAGCTCGTCCGACTCGTCCTTGACGCTGAACTCCTCGTCGCTGTCTGCCTCCGCCGCCTTCCTGGACTCAGGACGGCGGATCGGAGGGAAGACGTGGTCGATCTGAAGCGTCCGGGCCCGCACCGAATCGCTCGGCTCCAGTCCAACGATCTCGAAGTTGCCTGGAGGCGGCGGTTCGGAAATGATGGGCAGTGGCAGATCTTTGCAGCTAGGACGGCGCGGTTTCCTCGCAGCGACCGGTGCGGCGATTTCGACGTCGGTGACCCCTTCGGACTTTTCGCTTTCGTCCTCGTCGAGGTCGAGCTCGACGTCGTCTTCGTTGTACAAAGCCCGTGGCCTCGATCGACGGAGGCGCTTGCGGGCGGGCGCTGCAGCCTCATCGCCTCGTGTCGACCTGCGGGGGGCGGCCCGCTTCTTTGGCTGCTTGCGACGAGAGCCGCGCTTCCAGGCGGACTCGAAATCGTCGCTGCTCGCATCGCCGACGTCCATGACAGCGTGGTCAAGATCCCCGCCGTCTTCGTCGTCGTCATCATCGCCTCCAGCTTGGCTCGTGCGCCCTCGGGTAGCCGCCGACCTCGTCGGACGCTGCGAGGACGGCGCTTGCGGGCTACTGGCCTGCAGCCTCGACGATGATCTCGGCGAGGGCCTTGCCCGCGTCCGCGTCCGCGTCTGCCTGCGCTTCTTGGCGCCAAAATCGTTGTCGTCGTCGTCATCGTCATCGTCGTCGACCTCGTCGTCGCTGACGACAAAGCCTCGCAGTCTCGAGGAATTCTTGGGCCTCGATGAAGATGTAGCCTTGTATAAAGCGCGCGTGCGGGCCCGACGGCAGGGTGCGGCATCTCCGCTGTCATCTGCCGAGGCGTCCTCGTCTTCGTCCTCGTCCTCGTCCTCGCCCTCGTCCTCCTCGCTCGAGTCGAGGGCAAGGGAGTTCTGCAAGCTTCTCAGCTTGCTCATGCCCTTGGACTGGACCGAGGGCTTGACCGTGCCATTGTTCTGTCGCGCGGACGAGCGTGTCTGCGTCGATCGACGCAGGTTGGATCTGGTCGACGAGCTTGGGCCGACGGATGCGTCGCTGTCGTCAGAGCCGCGCTCCGCCCGCTCGTCTGGGACATGCGTGCCTTCCTCGCCATCGTCGACATCGCTCTGGGGAGCAGCCGTGGTCCTGCGCGACTGGCGTTGACTTCTGGCAATGGGGCCGGCCTTGCGCTTCTGCTGCGGCTTGGGCTCGTCGGCTGGTGGTGCGCGTCCGGCCTTTCTGAGGAGCTGCTGGCGTACGAGCTTGAGCGCCTCGGGCTCGGACCAGTGATCGTCGTCCTGCTGCTGCTCGTCGTCGTGGTCGTCGACGGCGGCGGCGGCGGCGCTGGCCTTGCCCTTGCCCTTGATTGAGGCCTGCATGGTAGAAGCGGGGGCACTTGGCTTTGTGCGGGAGGCACGGGTATTGGTGTGCTGCGATGCAGACCTGGAGTCGCTGCCGCTGTCGGAGTCGCTGTCTGCGTCGCCGAGTAGGTCCCGACGGGTAGAGCGGCTGGTGCGGCCGGACGTGCGACTGGAACGGGTTGCCGGGGACGAGGGAGCGGGAGAGGATGCGGCGGCTGCCGAGGAGCGGGTGGCTCTGGCAGCGACGGCCGAAGCGGGACCGCGGGTTCTGCTGGCGGGTCCAGATCTGGTGGCGCGACGCGACGGGGTGGGATCGGACCCGTGGTCGTGGTCGCCGTTGGCCGTGGTGCGGCTGCGGCTGCGGATTGCGTTATGCTGCTGACGCTCCTGTGCTTTTCTAAGGCTCTCTGCGCGTGCTTCTGCGATCCTTGCCTGGATCATTTCGCGCGTGACCTCCTCTTCGTCGTCGTCGTCGTCGTCGTCCTGGTCATCATCGGTGTCGGTATCGGTGTCGGTGTTGGGAGTGGCCTGTCTAGTACGCTGCGAGGCGACGGTTCTGGTTGTGCGAGATGGAGCGGAAGTCGAGGCTGCCCGTTTGGCTGCTGGGTTTGGAGAAGCAGAGGTCGAAGGGGCGGCTGCGGCTGCGGTTGTGCGCCTTGGCCTAGGCCGCGGCGGTGGCATGGTCCGAGTGCAGGCTGGTGGACGGAGGGCGGATGAAGCTGACTGGTCGACGGGGTACGGCGGGCGGATGTGAGAATAAGCAGCGATGGTGGTGGTGGTCGGAGGTCGGAGGGTGGGTGGTGGCGGTGGTGGTGGCGGCAAAGGAAGGTGGGGCGGTGGTGGTGGTGGCGAGGGTGAGGGCGCCGGGCGCCAGGCGGCAAGTGGAGAAGCGAGGGTCTGGCGTGGAGCGCTGCCCCAGCTCGAGGTCAGGGCTCAAGGTCAAGCGCAGGCGCAGGCCCAGGCGCAGGCAGCGACGCGCTGGGCCGTGCCGTGGCTCAGGATGGCGGATGGCGGGCCCTACCGCGCCCAGGCTAAGGCTGAGCTAGGCAGGCTAGTAGGCAGGGCCAGCAAAAGGCAGGGTCCTGGCTGGCTGGCTGGCTACCTGGCTGGCTGGCTACCTGGCTACCTGGCTACCCGGCTACCTGGCTACCTGGCGCGGCCTGGGCTGACCCCGCTTTTCTTCCGGTGGGGCGCGCCGCGACCGTCTATCTCTTTGTGGGCAGCGCGTCGCTCGCCTGCCATCTTGGAATTCAGGGCAGGCTGCAGGCCGGTGGGGCCACGCTGCCCACGCACCAACGCAAGCCAACAAGCCAGGCCAAGCTGTTGGTCTCGCTCCCTCGCAACCTTGCCCCCTCGCTCTCTATCTCTGCCTGCCTGCCTGCCTGCCTTTGCTCCCCTCGCCGACTCTCGCCTCGGCCTCTCGACGGCTACCCTCACCACCTCGACCCGCCCCACCGCTTCCATCCTCTCGCCCAACCGTGCTCGACCTCGGGCCCTTCCCTCGCCGCTCTCAGCATGACGACCTCACCCACAACAACAGCGACAGCGGCGGGTGCCAGCTCGGCCACCGCCGCATCCTCAAAGGCGGCCACCACCACCACCACCACCACCGACGCAGCGGCTGCGACGTCCTACGAGCTGCCGTGGGTGGAAAAGTACCGCCCGCAGCGCCTCGACGACGTCGTCGGCAACCGCGCCACCATCGAGCGCCTCAAGGCCATCCAGCACGACGGCAACTGCCCGCACCTCCTCATCTCGGGCCTGCCCGGCATCGGAAAGACGACGTCGGTCCACTGCCTCGCCCACGCCCTCCTCGGCGACGCCTACCGCGAGGGCGTGCTCGAGCTCAACGCCTCCGACGAGCGCGGCATCGACGTCGTCCGCAACAAGATCAAGACGTTTGCACAGAAAAAGGTCAGCCTGCCCCCCGGAAGGCACAAGATCATCATCCTCGACGAGGCAGACAGCATGACGCCCGGCGCGCAGCAGGCCCTCAGGCGCACCATGGAGATCTACTCGTCCACCACCCGCTTCGCGTTCGCGTGCAACCAGTCGAGCAAGATCATCGAACCCATCCAGTCGCGCTGCGCCATCCTCCGCTTCGCCAAAGTGCGCGACGAAGAGATCCTCAAGCGCCTTCTGGAAATCTGCGAAATGGAGGGAGTAGAGTACAACGACGAAGGGCTGGCCGCCATCATCTTCACCACCGAGGGCGACATGCGCCAGGCCATCAACAACCTCCAGTCGACCTACACGGGCCTCGGCTTCGTCAACCAGGAAAACGTCTTCAAGGTGTGCGACCAGCCCCACCCGCACCTCGTCCGCGCCATCCTCGAATCCTGCCGCGCCGCCGACATCGACGCCGCCATGGACAGGCTCGACGAGATCTGGTCAAAGGGCTACTCGGCCGTCGACATCGTCACCACCCTCTTCCGCGTCGCAAAGACCCTCGACTCCCTCTCCGAGGCCGTAAAGCTCGACTTTATCCGCGAAATTGGCTGGACCCACATAAAGGTCCTCGAGGGCGTGTCGACCAACGTCCAGCTCGGTGGTCTGCTAGCTCGCCTCTGCAGATTGGTGAGTCGGCGCCGCCAGGTCGAAGTCTGGTGTCGTGCTCGGGCTGCAGGCAGGCTGAACCCTCTCCTCCCTCGCCTTCCTCTGCACCCGCTTCTCTCGCCGCTCGGCCCCGCAACGGTCCTGGCAGAATATGAATGCCAAGCTATTCGAGCTTTAGTCGACTACTGCGAGCTCAGATCAGGCTCCGTCACTCGTCCCGCATCAAGACCCAACCCTGCATGCCACCCAGACCGACCCCATCCTCTGCCCCGTCCCGCACACTCTCTCTCGGTCCCCACCTGTACTTTTATCCACGCGCCCCGCGCGTCCCTCTGTCTCGAGCATTCAAATGACCGCCTCGCTCTTGTTGAGCACACACAGGACCGGTCCCTCGGTACACCCGCCTGGCTGGTCGCGATTTGGTGCCGTATGAAGGCCTGGAAGAAGCCTCGGGGCTGAGCCCGGTGGCGACCTTGCAGCTTCGAAGCCGGGGTGCCTTTTGATTGGCCGCAGCTGCGAGAGGGAGTCAGTACGCCAGGGGACGACGAGGAAAGGCAAGCCCGGGGACGTGGGCCTGGCGATGCGGCGCCCCTTTGAGCTACCACCATCCGCTCCTTTAATGGTATTTTCCTCATCATCCCCCGTCCCTCATTCGCACCACGACATCAAGATGGTCCTCAACCGCTGGCTTCTTGCTCTTGTCGGCCTCGCTTTGTCGATGGCCGTCGCTGTTCACGCTGCCGTCGACGGCGAAATCGGACAGCAACTCCCTTTCATCGTTCGTCGTCAGCACAATCCCGAGGAGCTCGAAGAAAGTGAGCACTCTGCCCACCCGCCTTACCTGACCATGCGGTGGTGCCGCCCGACGCCGACACTAGCTGACGCTCGCTCCCCCCCCCCCCCCCCTCCCGCATCACGAACCTCGAACCTACTCCTCGCCAATCTCTCAGCCTCGCCGCGCCCACATGCGGAGCCAGAGTTTCCTCCCACGCCCGCTCGTGCGTCCGGCATGAGGCGGGGCGACACGATCTACACCGGGAGCCGACGCCGGTACGATCTCAACACGCTGCTCGAATCGCCGCACAGGTCCGACAACCTGGCGCAGAGCGTCGTCGTCCGGCACCGGCTGGATCTCTACCGGGCGTACCGCAAGGCACTGGCCGAGTCGCTGGGCCTGTCCGAGGATGGATCGCTATCGCCCCGCGTGACGCCTGCCGTGTACAACGGGTACATGCGCGACGTCCCGGAGCGGCTGGCGAGGGCCGAGAGCCTGTCGGAGCTCATGCAGCTCCCCTTTGACGACCCGCTCCTCAAGCACGTCGTCGAGAGCGTGCCGGACGCCCGGAGGATCTGGGCCACCAAGGGCGTGCCTGTGCTCGCCGCAGCCATCAACAGGGCGAGGGTGCAGCCCACCGTTTGGTATCCCGATCTGTCCGACGAGGGCACCGTTGCCGCCACGGGGGCTCAGACTACCGATCGGAGCATCCTTCGTCGTCAGCAGCGTATCCTGGAGGAGATGCTGGGCCATCTGAGGCTCTGAAAGGCTCGCTCAGTCACGGCCCCGCGGACGTCAGGCGTCAGGAGATGCTTTTCCTGGTGATGTTCGCCGGGCCAGGTTCTCCTAGCGACACCCTCGGATGCTCCGTGATCCGATCGAACCTATCCTATTCTCGAATCGAGATCGATTCACCCGCATCGCTACACGTTGAGACCGTCTGCCATGCCTGAGGGAGAGTCTAGCGCGAGGTCGCCGCTCATCGCGCGTGCGGAACATCGATCTGCTCGAATCGACGGCAGATGGCGCGCTCGACGCACCCGACATGTTGCGAGGTCGCGGGTGTCTTCCAGGACGGTGGCAAGGATGCGGACAGACGGAGGACGACCGACGGTGGGTGGCAAGAGAGGCTTGGCCACAGCGACCAGGCCCAGGCTGGGGCGGGGGGGAGGGTGAGGGTTGGGCGTAGTCGAGGCGCAATATGAATCCCGCGCCCGGCCCTCGACGTTTGTATCCGAGCGGGGCGGCCGCAATACAAAATCGCTTTATTTGCTAGGCAGGCCACGCAAGAAGGCGAGGGGGGACCCTGCCTCTGGTTTGGAATGCAGAGGCGCGCGCCTCGGAACAGCGGTGCCAGCCAGGCCAGGCCAGGGAAGGCCGCCTCGCCTCGAATCTGAAATTTCGAGAGCGCCGGCTGACGAGTGGGCGTCTGGCAGGGGCCAATCGAGGCCAGGGCCAAGCTGGGACCCTCGCTCCTCGAGCCAGAGGAAGGGGGGCGTGGGCCCGCGTGCATGCGAGCCCCCCTTCGCCCTCTTCGGCCCACCACCACCATCGCTGCCACTGCTGCCACCACCACCACATCGGCCGCTTCCGACTTTACTCCTCGCCACCACCTTCTCGTCGTCGCTCGTCCTGCTCCCTCGGCCGCCCGCATCGCTTCGTTCCGCCCTGCGCCCTTCCGACTTGATACACTGCCTCCAACGCCGCACGTTACACGTCCACGCAGCGCCATCGTCGGCCCCGAACACCGCGCATATCGACCGCTCCGTCTAGCCCACAAGCAAACCTCCGTTTTCTTCAAGCAGAGAGATATCTCCGCCTTCGTTGGCAGATCGCGCTTTTAGCAGAGCCGTATCCGTCGACTGCCCTCGACCCACACGCTCTGGCCGGGTCGCCCTCTCTGCTCCACCCCACACTCGCTCGCCCCACCGATCCCCCTTGCTATGCACATCATGAACCGCGTCATTCCCCTCTTGATCGCATTCCTCTGCGCGGCGCTCTTCTCGTCTGCGCAGGCCGCCGACCCGCCGTCTGTCACCGCCGGACAGAGCGCAACCAATGCCCAGCCGGCCGCCTCTGGGTCGGCCCAACAGCCTGCCGCCTCGGGCTCCGCATCCGCATCAGGCTCCAACGCCCCCGCGTCCGGCAGCGGCAGCACGTCGGCCTCTCCCTCTGTCACCATCCCCTCGTCGGCCGCCGCGGGAGGCATCACCATCACCAACCCCGTCCAGACGGCCGACGCCTCCTACTACAAGATCGCCAGCGGCGTCTCGGTCACCTTTGCGTGGAACTTTACCTCGGTCATCCAGTACCCCTCGCGCCTCACCGTCCAGGCCTACTGCTCCGACAACGCTTACACGTACCAGATCGGGCCGACGGATCTGCCGGGCACGGCGACCAGCGTCGTCTGGAGCCCGTACGACTACAGCATGAGCGCCGCCGCCAACCCTTCGCTCCCGCAGCTCGTCCAGGCCACCTACCGCCTCCAGATCTTTGACGAGCGCGGCCTCGGCGTCGGCGCCTCGCCCGGTCTCATGGCGCCCAACACCCGCGTCACTTTTGCCCTGTACAACCCGCAGGCCTACACGCCGCTAGCGAGTGAGTGCCGCTCGCCCTGGGCGCCCCATGTCGTGTCCAGTCTGAACACCGCGCTGATCCCGCTGTTCCACCTTGATTCCACCCCGCCTCGTCGCTCGCCCTCGCTTTTGCCCCGGTTCCCCACCTCCCAGGCGGCTGGATCTGTGCGGCATGCAGCGGAGCACCATCGCTCAAGACGATCCACCCGGCCATCCTCGGCCTGATCGCGACCACCGCCGTGATGGTCGCTTCCGGCTACGGCATGGTGATGCGCCAGCTGGCGTGAGCGAGGCCTGCCTTCGGCCCGCTACCTTGCAGCGGCACAACCTCCAGCCCCTTCCCCGGTGCCTGCACCAGGACCAGGACCAGCTCGATATACGGACACTTGACAGCGTTCGCCCTGTGCGCCGCAGCGACACGACGGCGCCAAAGACGATGACGACGACGACAATGTTATGGTCTCACCACTTGTATCTAGTTCGCGCCCCAGCGGCGCGACCCGGCCGGCAGCGCACCGCTCCGCCCAGCCATGGACATTTCTAACTCTTATACGGCCATCCGGGGGTTGGCAAGGCTAGCAGCGCTGTGGCCGCCTAGGGGCAGGGCAGCTGAGCAGGCACAATCTGTCGAACGGCGCGCGTGCTTTCGTCTTCTTGAGTCGACGACCGGCTTGGCAGGCAGCCTCTTCTCGGCGGTCCGGCCTGGCCACAGGTCTCAGGGCGCGCTCGTTCTACTACTCAACTTACCTGGCTGCCGGCAGGCCAGCCGACCAAAGATGGTGCCGTGGAGTCTGTCCTGTCGATCTGGCGGCTGCGGGCCGAGGTAGCCACCATGCGCTGTCTGGCCGGCGGCACGAAGTACCTGCGGCCCACAATGGGTTTGGTCAAAAAGTGCCCCCCACGGATCGAATCAACCCCCTGGGGTTTCGACCTGGAAACCCACCCCAGCTGGGTTGCGAAAGGTCTATCCCGACTGCGGATCTAGGCTGCTAACTCGCCTTGCCCAGCCTATCCTCGTCGACGATGGACTGAAGTAGCAGCATGCTGGTCGGGCGAACGGGTGGGTGTACGAGCAAGGCCGGCCGTGCGCCCTACCGTGGCTCGTGCAAGCCAGCCAAAAAGTCGAATCCTCAGGGTGCGGGCGAGTGCGAGTCCGAGACCGAGTTCGGCGGCGACGCGTCTTGACAGGCCGAGTGCACTCGCGACCAACTCGGGCTGCGAGACGTTTCGCAAACCACCTCCATCCCAACCCGAGATCGAGATGGTCAGGTCAGGTGGGCCCCAGGGCAGCGCAGGGCAGGGTACGGTTCGTCGCACTCTGGCCGATCAGTCGTGCGCGATCTAGCTGCACCATGCTCTTTCACCACCACCACCACCGCCGCCATCCACCATCCCTCGTCGCACCTGTCTCTCTCGTCCTTGACCAGTGATATCTGGCCCATCTAGAAGCCATCGCATCCTTCGTCCATCCACTCTATCCCCACTGCGGGAGATTGCCGATGTCCGGTTACCATCATCCTACGCGGGGAGCAGGAAAAGAGCCTGCTGGTGCAATGAAAGCGGAGAGATCGACTGACCAGAAAAGAGGGGAGGGTGGTGTCGAACAACCGACTCCAGGAGGTCATTGCAGCAACCACCAGGCAGCGATCCTCGACCCTCCCGTGCCCGCCGCCATCGCCATCGCCGCTCGAAGCGACGCAGTGGCAGCAACGGGCGCCGATCCCCGGGCGTCCGAGTCGGCAACGTTGGAAGTGAGCAGCACGACGGGCATGCGTAAAGGGCTCAGCAGCGGCGACTACGCCGGCACCGACGACTTCCCAGGTCTCGACGACGACTACGATGACGTTGACGACGACGAGGAACGGGAGTCGGTGGCTAGACGCATGGCTAAGCGACTCAGCAACGGCGACTATACCGACGACTCGCTCGACGACGACTCTTACGGCCACGATGACGAGTGGAGCGAGCGTCTGGACGTGATCCCTCCGGCCCGCGGTCGGAACGAGGATGGCGGCACACGACGACGCGAGGGGGCGGGCACGAAGCGCAAGGCCGAGAACCTCGACGACTGCGACGACAAAGACGACGACGACGAAGGCGGCGCCGGCACAGACTTGTTCGACAGCGAGAGCGCCTTTCAGGTCGCGTGCCACCTCGTCGAGATGCAGGACCGTGTCGAGGCGCAAGAGACGCTGCGGCGTCGCGAGCGTGAGAGGAAGAAGCGGATCACGCAGTGGATCCAATCGGCACACGCGCTCGCACCCGCCGCCGCCGCCGCCACCGCCATCGCTGCTGCCGCTTCCTTGCGCGACGTCGACGCCGTCGATGACGAGGAAGCGGCGTCGATATCGCAGAGCGGCATCTCGCGACTCTCTTCTGCGCCGCTGAGACGTTCGTACCCCTCCGACGACGAAGACGGGGTGGATCCGGCAACGCAACGGATGCTGGACACGCTCCTCAAGGCGTCTTGCGACATGGAGGGGCTGTGCGCCTTTGTCAAGGACAGCGAGAAGCGGCGCGAGGCATCGAGGCAGCGCGAGCACCGCGCGAGCCTCGCCATCGAGCGGCTGCGCGACCGACGCATCCAGATCCAGGACCAGAGGATCACGCGGCTCGAAGACGACACCGAACGCGTCAAGGAGGCCGTACTCGCCGTCAACTCGACCCTCGTCGACTGGATGAAGGCCCAGGATGAGTTTCGAGGCCAGATGAGGCTCGTCATGCAGACCGTCCAGGAGCGGGCTGCCTCGTCGGCGGCGGCGGTGGTGATGCAGCCGTCTAGCCCGACGTTGCAGAATTGAAAGGAGGTCCCTGCCGGCAGAAGGGAATGGCATCGCTTGTCCACACTCTCTGTAGCCTGCTTGCACGTTGGCCGAGATGCACACAGCTGTAGGATTAGCTGGGCCCGTAACCAGGAGGCCAAACGTCGCGCCGTACATCGGCCCACCTCGTGCACAGCCAGACCGTCGCTGGCTCGCCATCGTGTACCGTGCAACGTGATATGGCATGACATCCTTCGTCGCTCGTCAACATCCTTGTGCCACGACCCGTGCCTCGGTCGGAACCCGGCGGTGCCCGGCGCTGCGAGACGCGTCCAGTTACATCTTGCCCTTTTCCTCGCTTCCCTCGAGCGGGAGCGAGCCGTCACCCATCTCGCCCTCCCACCCGTTGTCGCGCAGGTACTGGTTCCAGAGCTCGTCCTCGACGGCCAGGTCGAGCTTGGTCGTATCCGGCACGAAAAAGAAGGCGAGCAAGACGCCCACGACGCCGCACGCCGCCGCGACGATAAACGTGTACCTCTTGCCCAGGTGGTCCTGGATCGGTCGGAAGGCCTGGGTGCCCAGCGCGGCTCCCGTCTTGCCGACGGCCGCGCTGAAGCCGTAGAATGTACCCCGCAGTGCAGAGGGGTACGATTCGGCGGCCACCAGACCGCATACGTTGCCCGGTCCCAGGTTGCCGAACGACGCGAGTAGGCCGTAGAGGATGACGAAGAGCGGCGCGATCGCGATGATCTTGTCGAAGGCGCAGCCGATGATGAGTCCGATGAGAAGGTAGCCGCTGAAGCCGAGGATGAGGAGCCACCGCGATCCGATGTATCGGATGAGGTAGGCGCCCAGAAAAACGCCCGGCAACGCGATCACCCCCAGTAAGAGTTGCCACTCTGCGAGCTCCTTCAGACTTGCTCCCGGGATGATTGAGGCGATCAACGTCGAGGAGAAGACGCTATTCGGGAAAATCACAGCATCGTAGACAAGCCACACACCGGCGGTCCCTAGAAGACGAGGCCAATACCGCTTGATGGCGAGGAGGTAGGGGACGCGCTTGCGGATGGCGTTTTTTCGGTAGAGGTTTGAGTTGAGCATTCGCCAGCGGAAGGCGAAAATGATGAGTGGGGGCAGGCATCCGAATCCGAAGCAGACCCTCCAGATGATGTCGAGCCTGCGCATGTCGTCTGGGGTGGCGGGGGGCACGCCTGGGCCGGGGTGGTAGCTGTAGCCGGACGCGCTGAGGACGATGAGAAACACGCTGACGGCAAACGGCCCGCCGAGCGAGAGGAGCAGGTTGGTGACAAGGATAAAGACCCTGGATCTGCTCTGGGGCTTGAAGCGCTCGTTTGCAGCCTCGCTGGCCGACGTCGACGAGGCCGGGTACTCGCCGCCGACCCCGACGCCGATTGCGCCGCGTGCGACCGTGAGCCACCAGAAGAGGGCCGAGAGGCTTCCGTGGACCGGGGTTGCGGCGGTGGCGAAGATGGCGCCGACGACGAGGAGGAGCGTGGTGGCGGTGACGGCCGTCTTTCTACCCAGACGGTCGCAGATGACGCCGACGCTCAGCTGGCCCAGGACGGCGCCGACGAGGAGGGCGTTGGAGATGCGCGTCGAGACGTCCGAGTTGTACTCTTTGGCGCCGTAGCGGATCTTGAAAAGCGAGTTGGCCATGGTCATGAGGTTGTTGTGGTAGCCGTCTGCGATGAGGGCTGCACCGGCCGCTACGACCATCCAGCGGCTGGCCGAGGGCGGTGCAGGGGCGGTGGCGGTGGCGGTGGCCTGGTGTTCGGGCTTGGACGCGTCATTTTCCTGGGACGGCGTCGAGCTCGACGAGGCGCTGAGCTTGGTGTCGTGCTCGTGCTCGGCGTCTGCTTGGATCTCGGCGGAGGCGGGTAGACGGTCGAGGTGGGCGACCTGGGACATGACGGCGAGGCCAAGGGCAAGGGGAAAGGGAAAACGGGGAGGGCGTCGACGGTGGGCGCGGCGTCGGGGATGTGAGGGCATGTAGGGCAGCGCATCTTATACGGCTGCTGTTCGGCTCAATAGCCTCGGTCATGCTCGAGAGACGGGAATTAGAGCAGTAGTAGTGTACCCGATGCGACGGGTGGCGGCATCAAGGCCTCGGGCAGGCACAGGCTAGGCGTGCTAGGTACCGCCAGCAAGGACCGACCGGCACGCCCTCTGTAGCTGATCCTCTTGGCTCAGCCGCAAGCAAGGTCACACGTGCGCCCAGCCGGAGCCAACGACGGCGTAGCGGAAGAGCCGACGACGGCAGCCAGTCAGGGCAGCCAGCAAGCGGACCAACACAGACTCTAGCGAGAAGGGGTCGGTGGGCAAGCAAAGCAAGGCGTCCACATACGGCGAGTAGTGCACCGGCGGGACCCTCTCCGAGCGCGGACCGAGCCGAAGGCCTCGGACAGAGTGCGATGCCACTCGTCGTCGCTCCACACAGGCAGACAGGCAGACGTACGAGGCCAGGATGGACAGGACCATGCGAGGTGGGTGTCGGCGGGCCAAGGTCGCGTGCCGGCACCGGTACCCGTCACTCGACTGCCCCCGACCAGCGTCGAGGAGTCTCCCAGCCAGCTGCTTGCTTGCTGCTCAGCCAGACGTCTGCCTCGTGGTCGTGGGCGAGGCCCCGTGCGTCGGCCGATGCCCCAGGCAGAGCGGGGGGAGAGCCGGCGGGTGGATCCATTTCGTTGGACAACGTGCCAGCCTGGTGGGGCGGGTGGGCCAGCGGGCGCTATCCGAACCACACGGGCAGAGGCAGTTTCGGTATCGTCGTACGTTGCCCTCGACGGCGTGGACGTCCCGGCGTCGTCGGTTGGGCCGTCGGACGACCGGCAAGGGAAGGACGACGACGAGAAAGTCACCGGCGGCTCGAGCAGGCCTCGCCACAAAGATGCCGCGCTGCGCCTTGCCGAACCAGGCATGGCGGGCGGCGGATCTGGGCCGCGGCATCGTTTGACCCGCCGGCACCACCTAGCCACCCTTTTCGCTGTCGCCGCCGCCTCGCCTCTCCTCTCCTTCTCATCTTTGCCACCCTCGCACGTGGGGGATCAAACCCCCCACGGACGATGAGATCCATCCATCCGCCATCAGCCATCCGGCGAGGCCATCTGCACTGCAGCTCGACCTGATCTACTCTTTCCAGGCCTGGTACCTACAGCCGTTGACCCATCTTCGGACTCCAGCCTTGGGGACGAGCAATTCGATGTAAACGTGCCTTCCTGCCGCCTGCCGATCGCTTGCTTCGCCTCTCGCGGCCGCGCCACCGCCCGACCAGGAACGCCCCGCTCCTCCCTCGCTCGATGCTGGAGCATGACCTGCTCGGCCCCGCATGGTCAACGTGGTACTTATCCGGCGCCGGGCCTCTCGCTTCCAATCATGCATGTCCCGTTCGTTGGCCACCGTACACAGAAGACCCGCCCATCGCTGACCGACACACGACCGCCCGCCCGTCGACATCAAAGGTCTCTTCCGACGTCCATTCACGATTCAAGCTACCGGTACCGCCCGCCGGGTGTTCCTAGCAGCCTCGCCTCGCAGCGCCCAACAAAGGCATCGACGGGTAGGCCGACGTGGGTCGCCAGTCCCTGCGTCCACAGCCGCCCAACACCGCCGCTCGCATCTCGAGCATCGACAGCCGAGGCTCCTCGCCGCCAGACCTGGTCAGAGCCGTACCACAGCGTGAACCAGAACAGGGCCTTGACCACCCCGAGCGCCGCACCAGCGACCGTCTGGGCGGGTGTATGAACGCCCAGCCTGACGCGGGACCACATGACGGCAACGGGAAGGCCGATGCACAGCGCTCCCAGCCCTACCATCGTCGCCGCACCCATACCGCTTGTTGGAGTCGAGGAGGAGGAGGAGGACGGGGCGAGGGCGAGGACGAGGACGAGGTAGCTGCCCATAAACGAGACCGAGGCGCTGTGCGTCGACGGCATCCCGCTCGTCTTCTTCACCCTGGACCCGACGGGGCGCGGCTGCTTGATGAGCCGCTTGAGCCCCTTTGCCGTGAAGCTCGTCGCCAGGATGGCGCCCGTGTAGTAGACGACGTGCGCCGTGCGCAGGTGCAGGATGGCAATCGCCGTCGCTGTCGTCGCGATGCTCTGCGGTCCGTCGGGCCGGGCCGGGCCGGGGCACGAAGATGCGATGCGATGCGATGCGGGGAAGGGGAGAGGGTGGGGTCGGTCAGCAGGCCTGCTTGCGTTCTCGGACGGGGGACGGGCTGAGCTGCTCGTCTTACATCCCCATCCTCACCTGGGTGTGCTTGAGCAGCCATAGCGGCGTAGAGAGCCGCTCCGGCCGTCCTCTTGGCCGTG